CAGATCAATTTTTTGGCGATCTGAACTCCGACCTGCCGAAATGAACGGCGCTTTGCTAGAATTCCGACATCCATCGAAACCGGAAGAAGTCGCTGCCACTCTGAATTCCTGCATGTAGAGTGCTGTCATTCGGAAAAGAGGTCGTGGATTTGTGGGAGGAACAATGTCCGAGCCAAAATCGATGCCTGTGGAACACCCGAATTGACATTGTGTGCCGGAAACCATACTACCTGTCGTTAATCAAGCCATGAGTCCAGAACATTGATTCCCAAAGTGGTCTATATCGACCCCTAGAGGTCTATGACAACCTGCAAGGGGTCTACGTTAGACTAAAAAAATTTGGGGGTCCATGAAATGAATATGGGGGTCCACGATAGTGGATCTCAACACATGCACTGATAGTACCTATTTACCTTCATCATACTATCTTATAATATCAAAACATATACATTATTTATAAAAGTACCTATGAAGTAAAAAATTTATTATATATGTTTATAAAATTGTGTAAGTTGTAGGATGTTGGTATTCGCTTTGTGGTCGCAATACATTTTGAACTTGTAAAAACCTGAGAGCTTCGCTACCTTGCACTGACTTGTTCAATTCGTCACTCTATAAATACGAATGTGGGACAAATACGTTTATTCGTTTCCTGAATCTTGAAAAGGAAAGTGCTAAGAAAATATTTTAAAAAATATAAACAGATAGTATATCACACAAATTATAGTGAGTCAGTGTTATTTTGTTTAAGAGTGCGGGAGAAAAGTATGTACATTATTTTTTATTAAATTTTAGTTTTGTACTCGTAGTTAGCAAAGATAGATAAATTACGCCAATCATGACTTTAGTTATTAGTAGTTAAATATTCAATCATGCAAAATTACACGAGTACTCCTCAATAGTTTCTTTTTGAAAGTTTTAGCAATCGGTAATATAATTACAGTGCAATCTCCGTAATTCGAGCTAATTGTTGCAAGAAGATGTTTGAATTATGGAATGTTTTCGGAAAAATCAAAAAATATTTTTAATATACAGCTACTGGATTTTCTGTCTTATTTAAATAATTTAATTTTGCCCACAGATGACTGATGCCATGTCCGAATCTAAAAAGAAATGTAGACAGTACAATGTTGATTACTTGAAATTTGGCTTCATTCCATCATTGCCGGACAAACAATCGCTTATGTGCCTTTTATGCAACAAAGTTTAGGGCAATGACGCTATGAAACCATCTAAACTGCAAGATCATCTGAGAAGATGCCACCCTGATAAAACAGAGAAAGATTTGAAATACTTTCAAACACTCAAAGATAAATTTCAGAAGAGACCTACACTGGACAGAATGTTCGCTTCGACGTCACAAAGAAATGATGATGTTTGCGGGCGTCTTACAATATCTCGTTACTTATAGCAAAATCCGGAAAACCGCATACTATCGGAGAGAAGTTAATTTTGCCAGCCGTTGAAGAGGTTTTAAAAACTGTTTTACACAAACCTGCATCTGATATCATTAAAAGAATTCCCTTAAGCAACAATACTGTTGAAAGACGTATTGATGAAATGAGTTCTGATATTGAAAGCTTCTTATGTAATTATTTGCAAACGACCCATTTCTCTATACAACTGGACGAGTCAACTTTACCTGATAATGCAGCATTATTATTGACATATGTTCGTTTTATTATGAATCAAGAAATCTACGAAGAACTGCTCTTCGCAAGAACTTTGATAACCGACACTAAAGGTGAATCAATATTTCATGTTTTGAAGGATTACTTCATTGAAAAAGCAACTCCTTTATCAAATATAATATCTTTAGCTACAGATGGAGCACCTGTCATGGTTGGACGTTATCGTGGATTTATAAGCTACCTATTTAAAACAAAATGTGTCAGGGGTGTTAGCAATACATTGCTTCATCCATCGACAACATTTAGTTGCTAAAAATTTGAGTGTTAGATTGCACGAATCACTTCATTTAGTCATTGATGCAGTAAACCGAATCCGAAGCAACTCGTTGAATACGCGGTTATTTGCGCAGTTGTGTGAAGAAAATGACGAACACTTTCATCAATTACTCCTTCACCCTGAAGTACGCTGGCTGTCGAAAGGCTCATGTTTGACAAGATTTTTTGCACTTTTTGAGACTATTTTAGAATTTCTGGATACTAAAGATAAAATTTTAAAAGAAAATTTAATGAAGAGGAAAACAGACATCGCCTATTTAACAGATTTGTTTACAAAATTTAATATGGTTAATTTGCAATTACAAGGCGACAGTTTGAATTTGATTAAAACAAAGTCCATCTTATCAGCGTTTCTTGCCAGAGTTAAACTAATGAAGCAAAATATTGGACTGGCGAATTTTCTCAGTTCCCCAATTTGTCACAGACAATCTGCCAGGAAGACGACATTTCAACTTACGTTCAACATTTAAATGCCCTCTATTCGGATTTTGAATCTAGGTTTGAGGATATTTTGACTATGGTAATACCACCGTGGATAATTAATCCATATGGTGACATAGAAGAAACGAATGTCATAATACAAGAGGAACTGACTGAACTAAGTACAAACGAAGAACTTAAGGTTCAGTTTAAAAACGGATATCAGCAATTCTGGCTGCAAAACAACATACCCGTTACTTATCCCGTATTATGGAATACAGGGTTATCCAAATTAAGTGTCCACCATTGGTAACTTTGTTATTAGTAAAAATACAAAGTTGTTTAAATTAGCAAACTAGTAGCATTTTTAACGCTGGTAAAAATGAGAAATAAAAAAAAACAATTGAGAGTCGTTATTTTGATTTTTTTCAGTAAAATAACATTTTTTTAAATGGAAACCCCTGTATATTATATTTTTTTCTGTTAAAGCATCAAATTTTAAACAAAAAAGTTCATAATGACTTTCCGCTAAAGTCAAAATAACGATAAATATTTTTAATTATTTGCAGCATTATAATATTAAGACGGCTATGAAAACAACATGGCGTTCGCGATTTGACAGCATTAAGATAAGCGACAAATTGTTAAACTGGACATACTCGCAACTAGAAGGCTTTGGAAAACAATGATAAAATCAAATAATGTCAAACATTAGTGTAAATACTTGTTTATAAGCTTTATTGTGTCATTAATTTAAAGAAAAATGTTCTCCCATGAAGAAAAGTGTGATATGTTAGAATGCTATTTAGTGTGCAGAAAATCCTCCTTGAGAGCAAGTGAATTATATCCCGCTCGCATTCAACCGTATGAACGATATTTTCTGAGACTTTATCGAAAATTTAGGGGCAACGAAAATGTTTTTGCTAAAACGAGGGCAAAAAAAGAATTCATAATAAGCGAGGCCACGGAAATTGCAGTTATTGGATATTTTGAAGCTTATCGTGAGAATTCAATAGCAGATATTCTCAAGGACTCTAATTTCAGTTATGGTACTGTTCGAAGGATTTTAAAAATATACAAATTTATTCCGTATAAGTACCGACCAGTTCAAACGCTTTTGGCAGGGGATCCAGAGAGAAGACTTGTTTTTTGCCATTGGTATCTTAGCTTCTGTCGCCAAAATGTAAATAACTTTCGTTACCTTTTATGGACGGATGAATCAAATTTTTCAAATTCTGGAATGTTTAATAGAAAAAACCACCATTATTGGTCAAGAGAAAATCTTTTGTTAGTACATCCAAGAGGCCCACAAGTCCGTTTCAGTTTCAACGTTTGGTGCGGTATAATTGGTTCAAAAATTGTTGGCCCGTTCTTTTATGAGGGAACCCTAACTGGTGAAAGATATGTGGAATTTATGTCAGAAATTCTGACTAATTTCTTAGACGAATTGGATCTTATAAGTAGACATCATCTGCATTTTCAGCAAGATGGCGCACCTGCCCACAACTCCAGAGGTACTTATCATTTTCTAAGTACTACTTTTAATGATCAGTGGATAGGAACAAATGGCCCAATACAGTGGCCTCCCAGATCACCAGATCTAAACCCACTTGATTACTTCTTGTGGGGTTACTTAAAGAACCAAATTTACAAGCGAAGGTACGATAACCTTGACGCGTTAAAGACTGCAGTTAGGGAAAAGATAACCCAGATAGATGGTAGGACCATACTTAAGACAGTTCGAGCAGTTGAAAAACGTGCCCAAAAATGTATTGAAGAACAAGGTGGTGTTTTCGAGCATCTTCTTTAAAAAAAATTGTTATTGTATTTTGTAAGATTATAAGTTGATGTTGAAAATAAAGTTTGTCGATACAATTTAATTGTTTCAGATTGGAGGCCATAACTTCAACAATTTGTAACCTAGGAGAAAAGTTATTGTAAGCTTTTTTGTTTAAAATTTGATGCTTTAACAGAAAAAAATATAATATACAGGGGTTTCCATTTAAAAAAATGTTATTTTACTGAAAAAAATCAAAATAACGACTCTCAATTGTTTTTTTTTATTTCTCATTTTTACCAGCGTTAAAAATGCTACTAGTTTGCTAATTCAAACAACTTTGTATTTTCACTAATAACAAAGTTACTAATGGTGGACACTTAATTTGGATAACCCTGTATAGCGAGGAAATTTTTAATTTACTTTCCATCATCATACCTATTGGAAAGGGGGTTCAGCGCTGTTACCAATCTCCTAACGAAAAAAAGAAACAGACTGGACATCATTAGCCGAGGAGATTTAAGATTAACCCTTACAAAATTGACGCCAAATGTTGATAATTTATTATTAAATCTTCCTTCTCACTAAAAATATTGACTTATTGCTTATGTTATTTTATTTATAGTTTATTTTACGTTTATTGGTGTCTGACCAATAAATGCCCGCATTGGGAATAAGTGCCCGCATTGATTTTTTTAAAGAACACCCCTTTATAGAAAATATTTTTTTTTCAAAATTATTCTTAAAATTCAAGGATAGGTATAAACAAAATACTGAGAAACTATGTTTTGTTTACAGGCTATGGAAGAAAAGTTCCGAAAATAAATAAATTAAGAAAAAATACACATAATAAAATATATTACAATAACAAAACTATAATGTTCTTTTACATAACTTGATCTTAAGAATACAATTTATTACAATTATTTCACGGTTACAACTTCCTTAACAGAAGAAGGCTCAAATCCTGCACTTTCTAATTAGTAATTGCGTAAAGCTATATACACACAAGCACAAATCGTACCGTAACTCTCGTTTATAAACAGTGCCAAAATAGGGCTTTTTATGGCAAACGGCAAATATTTTCGGCGTTGCAAAGCTTGAGTTCTAGATCTGCAGGTAGCGCTCTGTAGCAATAATATTTGTAAGTGAAATTAAAGTTTGACTTTTTTGAGAACAATTATTAATCTGAAAACTTGGTACGTGCTTAGAAGCTTTATTTAAGGTGTAAACACCACACCTCCAGAAGTGTAGTGTATATCATATGCGAATTTGGGGAATAGCTATTTTTAGCAACATTCATCGGTAATCAATTTCATGGTATTAAATATTATCGTAGTTAAAACAGATCTAGGACTTGACACAGCAACTCTCATTGATACGAACAGTCTCAAGATTGGTATGACGATGGATCGATGTTCTTAATCCTCAGTTGTTCGTCAATCCAGTTTCTAAACATGGCCACGTTACCATATACAGCAGGTACTCCATTTTCTCCACAACCGATGCCCCAAGCAACTATGCCAGCCTGTAAATAGAAAAACAATTGAAAATCTACAGCGCATTTTAAGGGGTAACACCAATGTAACAGCCTAAAAAAAGTATCCTTTGTCATTTGTTTTTTGTAGAACAAATAGCGAGAGCATAATAATATTGGAGGAAGCTATTTAAGTAACAAAAAAGAAAATGATCAAAAATGGCGACGCCGCAGGGTTTTTATCGGAACGCGATTTTTCAAATCGTCACCCAGCATAAATCGAACAAGTATCATTCTTTTCATTCGAATTTGTACAATATCTTTCAGACGACAGCGCCTGTAATATTGGTACAAACCAAACGCTGAATTTTATTGAGTTTGGCCTTATTTATCTCGGTTCCAATGCAAGGCCACGAAACCAGAGAGCCATACAAGAGAGATGGACGTACACTTTGGGTTTAAGCTCCCACATCAATGAATTTCGACCCTTGTTAACCTTGTACTCAACATGCTCTCTCCAATTAAGTTTGCAGTCCAAGATAATTCCTAGATATTTTACTGATTAAGATAGGCCGATACAGGTTAAATGCTTGTTTTTAGAATGTTTTGATTTGATATCTAAAAATGTCATAAAACCATCCTTAATTATAACAACAATAGAATTTGAATAGAATTTTGACAAGGAAACATCGTTGGATGACTTTGCCACATTACCTGGAAGTAGCGGTCTCCACGACCTCCTATTGGACAAACTAATGGACTGCCTCCATCTCCTTTGCAAGTGTCTCTACCAGGTTCACCTCCAGCACACATAAAGCTTCTAGAAAAAAAGAACGGGTGGATCATTAAGAGGTAGACAGGTACTTTTTTAATAAGAAAAAATCAGAACAATCAAATTTATTATCGAAGTAAAAAAACATTTTGTTTTTGAAATATCGGCTGTTAGTCCAGTGAATGTGGTCCAGTTCGGAATTCCAGTTTCCAATTTTAGCGACCGTTATCCAATTATTTTTTATCTGAAATTCAAGCCGATGGTCTTCGTAAAAAAATTGGTTTCAACAAGACTACTTAGATCACAGCTAGTTTCTTGTTTTCGGACCGATAAATTGACTGCCCTGATCGTGAGATTTCACACCTTCACACTCTTTCCTTTGAAATCATGTTTACATGGATAATAAAAGCGATTGAATGATTAGAAATCAGTATTACTTAGTAAATCGCGAAATACCTCTCGAAATGTACGGACGCATAATCAAAAACTCGGTCTCCAAAATGTGCCACTTTAATCGCAGTAATGGCCAACTTTTGACAACCTGAATTCCAAAAAAGAATGTCATGGATGCCTCTGTTTTTAATCAGAAAGGTAACGCCACACTCTTGATTGTTTTTACGAGTATTTTCACTATTAATATTTAATATTCAAAGTAATGTGTAATGGTTACTTTGGCAGACGACATTTTTTATTCAACATTTTACTTGAAGTATCTCACCGGCCTGTGTGTCAAATCTTAACACATCTCAACCCAATAACTATTTATTAACAATAATATACCCCATGACCCACCCATCTATCACTCAATATGCTGTTGGCCTATAGTCAAGCCAGTGAGTTAACTATCTTAACGCATTTTACTTACTTGTGTAGCTCGAAATATTTTCCCAATCTGGTCTGTCGTAGCTTATTTTGACATTCACTGTTAGGCACTACAGGTAAGTCAATCTTCTTCATGATGACCTGGTATTTTCCTTTCTTGCCGAAAACGTCTTTTCCCCAACCAGTAGCAACACACCTACAAAAAAGGATGAAAAACCAGTAATCGTAAATTCAGATTAAAGTTTTTACGAAAAAAAAGACAGCTGTTGTATAACAAGTAAAATGAGGAATCACGAAAGAAAAGTTTTAACAGACTTATTTAGTTTCATGTGTCTCGGTATTCAGTAAGTCTAGTTTACAATTCTGGGATATGCTAGCTCACGCTGAAAATAGTGTACATACGTATTTACATTTGTTATCGAAGTTTTCTCCTTAGAAAAAAGTTTGAAAATCAAATTTTAGGTTGAATCATCATCGAAATACTATGCAAAGCATGTCACTATGAATATTAAAAATGCAATAGAGCAAAACTATACTTCACAGCCTCAGTATTCAAACATACAATCACCTCCTACTCCAAACACATACGAGTTTTAAGTGTGCAATGGATCTATAGTCTGTTATTATGAAAGTTATTCACAACAATTACACACTACAAGGTGATTCATAACTATGTGGTAACACAAACCAGCAAACGGAATATCTTGGTTTATTCTGAAAGGCCTCTTTAGGGAAAGAAGTTTGATATAGCATGGCTGTTAAGACATATTTTGGCCGAAAAAAAAAATTAAATCTTAAAGCTTGTAGGGATAATTTTTACCTTTACCTGCCATCCATTAAAAGTCTTTTACGACTATTCTGGTATTTATTTATTTTGGATTGTGATTTCCGACAATCTGCAGATAACTCAAAAATTAAGTAAGTTTCTCAGTCGTACCTTCCAGACTGGACAACATCTCCTTGAGGTGGCAAACAGACGACTCCAATGTGGGGCTGCATCTCTACTGGGGACTCCAAGAATAACAAAGCAATGTCATTATACAACGCTCCTGAATAAAACTGAGGATGGATCTGGATATGTTTCACTTCTCTATCTTGGTGGGGGTAGAGCTCCTTTGTGTTCTGGGTATCCCATTCTCCAGCCCGAATCGTAAAGGTGCGATCTTTGCCAGCCACACAGTGAGCTGCTGTCAATACCACCTAAAAGATTAACAGTGAATAAACAAAAAATTGTAACACATGCAAAAGTATAGCTACACGGAGACATCTTATTCCTGGAGATTATCCCTTTGGCTAAGATTAACTAAAAACTACTATATTTGATATTCCAGCAGCTGGTTACGGATGGGACCTGGATCAGCATCTTTTAGAGTTTTCCACAAAGGGAACACACAAAAATAAGAGATGCCCACCCCTTTTTGATATCTCGGAATATAACGATTGATTTATGCACACTAAAATTGTTATTTTTATGCTTGCATACCTGAGGGTGTATCAGTGCTCCTCCACACTGATAAATGTTTAATTTTTGTGGATTTCCGTCAATAGTTTCTTGTTTGAGAACAGCCACCATCCATGGAAATTCGCCAAACTGCGTCTCATGGTCTCTAAAAATACGGAATCACTTTACTAGTTCGAGGGGTACCTAGATTCATATATCCGATATTTCGTAAATGAATGTCAATATTTAAGGAGGCAATTTTTGCAAACAGTAAAACTCCTTACGAACGAAAAAATATACAAATTTAATACTAAATAATTTATTATTGAATACTGTATCTCAAAAGTTAAGATGTTTAGAACATACGTTAATAAGAAGTTTTCTTCTTAAAATGGACCCAAAAATCGCTTGCTTAAATATTGACATCCAATCAGAAAACACTCTGTACAATCATGTTCGATTAAACATTAGTAGGTGTACCGAAAAGGAGATATGGCAACATTGCTTACTTGTCCCCTGTGATCCGGAATCCTGCACCATCTGGGTTCCGTACGCCACAGCCTTTGGGTGCTTGAGGTTTCGGTTTAGGTGTTATGGGGTTGTCAGGTTGGCGTACATCGGCCTTATCGCAGCAAACCTCCAGATAGGTGGAGCACGGGCTATCTTGTATCCTGCAAAGAAAGTGGAACGTTGTAATTTAGGTAGGTACTACTCCTTCACCTTTGACATCCAGATTTACGAATTCGTTCTTTTAGTTGCGAGACGATGAGGTATCTTTAATAAATATTTCAGCGAAATCCTAGTACCTAATGTCAATAATTCCTTCTCCATTTGTGTTGATAGTTCCATTGGACGAGCACAAGTAATAGTTTACGCAGACACAGCCGTCGGGTCCTGTCACTACTCCGCCATCGGTGTCTCTATTGTTAGGCTGCAAATTGGGCACTGGTGTAGCAGGAGATGGTTCTGATGTAGGCCTGAAAACATTTACAATGAATGGTCTAATATTTGTTGGTTTGCACCAAAAGAGTAGGGAGAGACAGAAAGTAGCGTAACGCATCGTACGCCACTGTTAACACATCTTGTACAGTGAAAGACGTACTTAAGTACATAAAGACACTCGCGTTAAGAGTGGCGTAGGTTGTGCTACGCTACTGTTTTCTATTATAGCGGACCATATCGCACGCCACTGTCCAGTGCGTTATCTCCTTGAATACGGCTGCATACTCACGCTCAGATTTTGTTAATCAAAAGAAATGCCGCACCTACAGTAGTGTACGATGTGTTTAGTTATATAACTATTGCTTAATTTAGCTTCTAAACTATGTGGTTGTCTTATTTCCAGCATGCTTCTTTGATCAATAAATTGAAACCACAGATGTAAGGAAAATATTTTACTTTGATCAGTGTTTCTTATACACCTCTGGTTTTAGTTTATCGGCCAGACACATAAGAGGTCTGTACATTAAGTGATGAGGCTGGCAACGTAGCGTTCGATTTGACAACAGTGGGCTTGGGGAACGCGTGATCCGTCTTCAGTACAAGTTTGAACTCGTTCGAGTCATTTGATTGACCGTAGTTTTCCCTGTTGTGTTCTAAAAATGAGTGACATCACTTTCGATGTGCGAGCAGGGTTCGCTTCAGAATGGGCACAGTGCTACGGAAACTCTTGCTAAACGGAGATAGTGTTTTGTCAAGAGCCCAGGTTTTTCGGTGGTCTAAGGCATTTTCAAAAGAGACAGTCGACAACATTCAAACGGCTGTAACCGACCAGCTGAAGGCTAATCCAGTATCGGAGTTCCAGCAAAGCTGAGGAGTAGAAGAGCGCTGTGTGGTTTCAGAAGGAACTTATTTCATAAAATTGTAATTATATTGGAATAAAAAAAATCAGTCTCAGCATTTAATTTACAGACCTCGCAAAAATAATTATTACTTGCCTGGTAAATACTTCTTTAATAAGATCTTCAACAGCTTTTCCTTGTCCCCATACTCCGTTACAAACAGCAAGCAGCAAAATCAGTGTTGTGATGCTCAACATATTCAACCTCCTGAAACTACATTTTTATTATTTTGTCAAACAATTATTTAGGATCAATATCAAACAAAATCTACCCGGGTCATTACAAAAGATATATTAGTCTCTCGGAATGTTCAAACAATATGATGAGTAAGAACTAAATAGTGTGTCTTGTCAACTCAAAAATATGGAAATACATATATGTAACGAACTCAAATCTGTTGAGCTCATTTTATATAATTTTGAATTATAAATCCTCTAAAAGCACCAAAGCGGGCTAAACATTTTAAGGGACATTACGTCAAATTGGAAATATTATGAGAAGATCCACTTGAATTCGTTCAGTGTTAACAGCATTTCCCTTTCAAAAAGGCCAAAACAAAATATTGTCCACATTCGGACCTAGTGAGAATATGTTGCTGCTACATTATATTGAACAGCGGTTGAGTATAAAAAATGAATCATTCATAGGGTTGAGGAAATTAACTATAATGATTTATGTAAAAACCCATATTCGCGGTACAATGCTTATTAAATTGACTATAAACTTGTACACGGCACAAAAATATTGCTAAAACATATTCACGACTTTTTTGCTCCTTCAAGCAAATGATTGTCCCTTGTTTTAAAATACAAAACTGAATCGATTATTTCAAACATGAAGCCATTTCCAAAAACGAAACACGAGTATTTTCTCCTGAATCAACAGTTATTCAACAAAAATCCTCCTACGTATAAAAATAATGTAGGCTAGTAGGATATTCCATGCATTTATATACGTCTGTTTTTGAATTCTCATTCTTATAAATATTGACAGAAATTATTATTAATTTTTGAGCCCTTAAAGGCCTTTTCAACTTTCGTGCCGCCTTGAAAACGAGTGAAAAACAGATTAAAGAGATTACACCCAAGAACTATAAAAAAGTTGTGTAATGTTAATAACAAAGCTTGGGGACGATCTAGAACTTCCGTTTTCTGCTCATAACTCCTTCGTCACTGCACCCCGAATTTCAAAAAGAAAGTAGGATTACCCTCTATGATCCCACAGCAAATCCCTTACCAAATTTCACCAAAATCGATGCAGTTGTTTTTTAAATTACGCGGTTAGAAAATGTTCAGATAATGACGGGACTGAAACATGAATTTTCATCATAATTAGAAAATAAGAAAGTTCAGGCGCTTCAAAAAATTAAATTAGTAATAATACTGGAAACAGTAATATATTTAGAATGTTTAAAAATTACCTTTAATATTATCTGGAAATGCAAACTTACGTCAAAGATATGTACTTAAATGCACAGAGTTCCTTCACCGGAAAAGATATCCCAAAAATAATTCTGACTCCGCGTTGTATGTTGTTTAGGTTATATCATCAACTCTCACATTCACCACAATTAACTGAATCATAATATATGTATATGATACTTTAAAAAATGTGGGTATTTAAAATAATGATCCAGATTCTAACCACAACACAACCGCACTGACATTGGCCCGTATTCAATCACAGACTGAATACCAAAGAACAAAACAAATATACGTACCCAAGCATGACCGACTCTGCATTTGTTCAACAATCAAATTCAACATTTACTCTGCCACTAGCAACGTAACAGGTACAACAGCTCATCAGCTGTATTTTACAGGTAAAATATACTGAGCGAACGTAAAAACAGAACTAGAGGATCTGCGAGATCAGTAAAGGCTCCCCCAAACCAATGCGGAAAACTCGCAATATCTACGAATATTCGCAGCATATTGATTTCACTGTGGTAAACAGCCATGGTTCCCTTCGTTTTGACTGCGATTTATCGGCGTAAAATGTTCGCAAAAAGGATAAAGTTTGGACTAAAATAGGAGAAGAAGATAGAAGAAAAACAATCAAGAATGATTATAGGATTGTTTTCTAGTCTTTCGTAATTATGGCATCGTAGTGTGCTTTCAGATATTTATTAAAATTATTACTCCTAAATTATTTTCCGTTGCAAATAATGAAAGTACTTCTTCTTCATACGATGATGTATACATGTTTTTAGAATAGCAAAGATACTATTCGATTTTTATTTTTAATACTAACGTTCAACTTTTTTATACTAAATAAACAACTTAAATTATGCGATTATACTCGCTTTGCTGTGAGGCTTCGCCCAGAAACCGCGATGACATTCGCTGCGGATTCTCCGTCACAGATCCGCTGCGAATAATTCGCTTTGGTTTGGGAAAGCCTTAAAGTTAAAAACTACACAGTTCTAGCACGTGCAAAACTGATTTTATACAGGGTGTTCCTAATGATATGCTGATATTTAAGGGTTTCCTTACAAAAACTCGGGGTGTTGAAGTTTTAGGAAAAAAAAAGGAAATTAATTAATATTTTCAGAATACTCAAAAATAGCGGATCGAAGCAAAACAATTCAAGAGAGATCTTTTGTTTTAAATGTTACGGGGAATTTAAAAATAATTTTATTTCTTTGACGAAAAACCATTGGCGTACTATTTTTTTTTCTTAAAAAATATCGAAGTCAATACCCGTACGCACGCTACTGTTAAAGCTAAAAATTATTTTTGCATTGAAAAATATGCAACTTTATTAACTTTCACCACGTACTTTATATCAGTTAAACATCTGAAGCGGTTCTGAAAATATTAATTAATTTCCATTTTTTCCTAAAACTTCAACACCCCGAGTTTTTGTAAGGAAACATTTTTGGACCATAGTTTATGAGGTAAACTAACATTAATTTTTCATGTAGATTCACACCCTTAAATATTCGCATATCATTAAGGAACACCCTGTATATCGCTAAACGAAGTAGAAGTTAAAAAAACTCATTGACAAAAGGTAAAGAAGTGAGCCACTATCGTACGGCAATATCTCTATAGCAGAAATTTAAAAGGGAAATAAAAATATGTTAGATAAAATTGAGTTTGGGTTCTTATTTATCTAGGAAATTGACCGTCATTCGGAGATAAGCATCAGGGGTATTTAGAAAGATTTTTAATGATTTCCTAATAACAATTGCAGATGATGTACGATGTCTGAGCTCATATGCCTTTCCTAAACCAACATGTTTAAAAAAAAATACAGCAGTCCAACGAGCAGCTTACTATAATAGTTTAAACCGAAACCACGTTTTAGTATCTATTGCCTTTTTGTATTTTTTTATTTGCTCTTTTCCCTCTCATATGAGCACACATAAAACAACAAAAATCTCGTAAACAAACATAGATATAAAAATATCGTAGAGATAACATTTGAAGCTTATTTAACACGCTATAGAAAAACTGTTTTACCGGGCCACAAATAATCAAAATTCAAAAAGTTTTCCAAAAATTTTTCAGTTCCTACCTATGGTAGTATCCGTACCAATACTTCAATAACCTAGATCCAAATTTCCATCCAATATAAAATGTTATGTCAAAAGTGTTCAATTGCTGAGTTATCAAATTGTTTTTATTTTAAGCGACCCTTTTAGTTTTGAATCTGCTTGTGTCTCTGTGTGTTTTATTATAGATCTGAAGTAGGAGGTGTGACGAACATGCGCTCATATAGAAATAGTAGTAGTCGCAGTTTTCCTACATCTTCAAAAGGCTTTCGATTCAGTATCTCATACAATTTTATTAAAGAAACTAGAAAGTGTTGGAGTGCGTAGTGGAGTTCTGAACTTATTTGAGAAGTATTTGGCCGATCGATTACAAGTTAAGGTAGGGTCAGATTTAAACAGCATTCAAAAGATCAAAATAGGTGTGCCTCAGGTGACGGTTTTGGGACCAAAGCTGTTCCTCATATACATAAATGAACTACTTCGATGCAACTTCAACTGTAAAATGATATCTTATGCAGACGATACTGTTTTAGTTTGCACTGGTCAATCAAGGGATGACACAATACGGAATGCCGAGTTGTTTTCTCCAACCAAAGCAGGCATGCCATTAGACCACCGAACATTAATTATAAATTAAAGTGCTGACACTGTCGAAAGAGTTGAAGTTATTAGATACTTAGGAATCATTAATGACAGTAATTTAACATGGCAGAGTCATGCCGACCTTTTGGCATCGAAATTAAGGAGAATTGTTCATAAGTTTTTCATTCTTTGGAATATTTTAAGCAGAAAGAGTCTTCTCTCAATATATAACTCGTTTGTGGGGTCTCTACTAACTTACGGGATAAGTATATGGGGAGCTGCATATACTAGTACTTTAATAATATTACAAACCACGAAAAATTATATTGTCAGGACTATTTTTCGTATCCCATGTAGGTCAAGTTGCAGATTCGTTTACATTGAAAATGATCTTTTGAATGTTAGAGGTTTACATATTTTTGCTGCTCTGAAATTTGTTCACTCCAGAAACAGTGTTCCAACCAGCCACGCTTACGAAACAAGAACTAAAATAAATATAAGTTACACTTATTCCAGAGTGAATAAATCTGTTTGCCAAAAATGCATAAAGTTTGATGGTATTAGGTTGTAACGGGTGATTTTTTAAGAGCTATAGGATTTGATTTTCAAAAAAAAACACAAAAAATTTGAAATAACGATTAAATCTTTATTTTAGTCGATAGAACGGTCGATATAATTTAATATTTAAAGATTATTTCATGTAAATGTTGGCCGCGGCTCCGCTTTAGATGGCCCATGCGCAAGGTCCAATTTTGGCACACTCTCTCTAACAGATCGGCCGGTATCTCACGAACAAATACTTCAATATTGGCTTCCAGAGCGTCAATCGTTACTGGTTTATCCCTGTAGACATTAGCCTTAACATGGCCCCACAAGAAATAGTCCAACGGCGTTAAATCACACCATCTAGGCGGCCAATTGACGGGCCCCAAACGTGAGATAAACTGTTCACCGAACTCGCCTCTCAATAGGGCCATTGTTTCGTGTCCGGTGTGGCATGTGGCACCGTCTTGTTGAAACCACATGTCAGCCAAGTCCCGCTCTTCCATTTTGGGCAAAAAAAAGTTTGTTATCATTGCACGGTAGCGCTCGCCATTCACAGTTACGTTCCGGCCATTGTCGTCTTTGAAGAAGTACGGCCCGATGATGCCTCCGGCCCATAATCCACACCAAACAGTGATTTTTTCGGGATGCATTCTTGCAATGCTTCTGGCTGGTCTTCACTCCAGATGCGGCAATTTTGCTTGTTAACGTACCCATTCAACCAGAAATGAGCTTCGTCGCTGAACACAATTTTTCGATAAAAATGTGGATCTTCCTCCAACTTTGTCAGCGCCCATTCACCAAATTGGAAACGTTGTGGGAGGTCGTGTGGTTTCAATTCTTGCACCAGCTGTATCTTATAAGGTTTTACACCCAAATCCTGTCGCAAAATTTTCCACGTAGTGGAGTAACAGGCCCAATTGCTGCGAACGGCGCCGAATCGACATTTCACGGTCATCACTAACCTGGCGGATACAGCCGCAATATTTTCTTCAGTCCTCACTCTACGTCTGCGTGTTGGTGGTTTAATGTCCAATGTAAACTGGGTTCGAAATTTAGTCACAAGCTTCCGAATAGCAGAAGGCCGACCAAATTGCCCATAAATTGGAAGCAGTGCTCGATGCACTCTCTTAACCGAGCATGCGTTTTGATAGTAAAATTCAATAATTTGCAAGCGTTGTTCGTTTGTAAGTCGAATCATGGTTAAATTATAGACCAAACTGAACAAGTTTGACAATGACACAAGACACGATTCACGCGTCATCTGTCAAAAACAGTGTTGCCAAAAAGATACTAGCAAAAAAATCACCCATTATAATAAATTACCCCTAGAATATAAAATCCTCTCGAAGTATAGTTTCAAAAAAAGATTTAAGAAGTTCATCTTAAATAACTTTGACATGCTTGCATCGATTTTAGCTTGACTCAGCCCCGTTTCTATCTAATGTTATATACACCATTAGCCATGCATTGAATTTGTATATTGTGTGACACACACAAGCTTATAGCTTAGGTGTCTATTCTTTTGTAATAAAAAATAAATTCCTTTTAAAAAATAAATATAGAAATAAATATTATGTAATTAGGATAAGTAGCTAGTATAAGGTACAGCTGTAATAATATTAATGTTAATATTGTAAAATTATTATCATTGTAATGGAGAATAAACATTCAATTTCTTCTCTAGGTCCAAAAAAAATTTCCAAAATGGGTGCTAAAATTGCGAACTTTCAACGGAAAGCAAAGTACTGGAATAAAAACAAAAGTGTTGATGAAATTTTAAAGCTCGAAATCTGAATCATTTCAAGAGACACTGATCCATTTCACTGCAGTTTTTTTCGTTATGTAGATGGTTAGCTTTTGCCCCAATTTCGTATCTCTTACGATTTTCAGGATCCCAAGGTAGCGGGGTAGGGATAAGATAATATTATTATTGATATTACTGGAGTCGAAACTAATCAATCTACTATATGCGTATCTCACAACATTGTTGCTAAACATTTACGGCGTATTAATTTGTATCTGCTATCTTACGTACGAAAGTTGGCTTTGGGGCTTACCAAGCTTTCCTGCTTTCAGGAATAGAATTGTTTACCTAGTAGTTAGATAAACCTATTATTAAAGATTGTGTTCATGTTTTCGTCAAGCCGATGCTGATAATTTTCAATGCTATATTAAAAAGTGGAATTTTTCCTGATGTTTGGAAGATAGCAAATGTGTGTCCGGTCCTAAAAGATGGTGATAAATCTGATGTACTCAACTATAGAGCTATAAGCATTTTGAAGAACTTTGCAAAGGCTTTTGAAATGGCCATTTACTATTTTATCTTCGAGAA